TGGGGGAGGAACCAGCGGGATGGGGGGGAACTTACCTCCTCCTCCTGCTTCCTCCTCTGCCTCATGTGTGGAGGTCCCTCCCCCCCGCGAGTATCGCAGGTCCGCCCCTTGTAGTGAAAGAAACCAAAAGAGAGATGTTTGTGCAAGTGCTCACATGTGCTTGTGTGTTTTTGTTCTTCTACCTGTGGTGTCCATGATGTTTGTTCAGGCACTGCCGTGGTGCCAGATTTGACCCACAGAGAACCTTGTTTTAAGCCTTGACTGCCCAGGTGACATGGCAGGTTCTCCAGGCCTTTGGGGTGGCTTTGCCCCTCGTGCTCCTAGGGATCCACTAAATTTGCCTCACCACCAGTCTGGATCCGCTGTTCCTGGTATGAAGAAGAACGTGGCACCGAGTGGCAGCTGACTCATGGCCGACCCCCTCCGCGGGGCATGCCAGGCAAGAGAGGATCGGAGGTGGTTTGCCATGGCCTTCTCCCAACCACCGTCTTCCTCGGTGGTTTCCCAGCCCTGCTGGGTTTCCCATCGTGGCCAGCCCTGCTGAGCTCCTGAGCACAGAGGAGCTCAGGCCAACCTGGACTATCCAGGGGTTCCTCACACACTGAGTTGTTTTTTAAAAAGGAGACATGAAAATTCCCCCTCCCATTTCCCCTTCTGCTCCTCCTTCATGTCGGTCGCAGCTTCGGGGTCCAGCACGATGGAGAAGGGAACCAGTGCTCTGGGAGTGGACACATTATGGGCTCTGAGGGAGCTCTCAACAGCGTGGATCTGGCGTGGTCTGCATGTAGCAGGGAGCAGCTCCTCGCCTTTGTCAGGTAAAAGGGCTGGTGCGTGGTCCGTTTGGGGTTTGCACGCGTACTTCTGGGCAGGCAGCTGACAAGAAAGGGCGGGGCTTCCTGCCTCAGGATGTGGCAGCCACCCAATATTGGCAGTGGCTCTTGTCCCACAAACGCCAACGAGCCCCTCGTGGTAATGCGGCCTCCCCCAAATCCACCAGCCGGCTCTCTTGTGGTTTCTCCCCAGTACAGGCCAAGCAGGCTGCATGGATGACCTGCCGGACCCCAAGGACAGCATCCCAGGAGGGAAGCCCGGCCTGTATTACGGGGCGGACGAGCAGTGCAAGATAGCCTTTGGGGGCGCAGCCGCTGCCTGCACTTTCGCCAGGCACGACATGGTGGGTACCGCTGGGCCACTTAGAGCCGTTCCCCGGGTCTCCTGTTGTTAAATAGTGGGTTCCATGGATGAACAGACCACAAGTCTAGTGATCAGTTCTACTTTATTAGTGATTCCAGCAAGAGCAAGACAAGACCCCAGAGCCTCAGCTCTGTTCAATAGCCTGCAATTGCCACACCCAAACACACCCCACTCCCAGGAATAGGCTATCTACATACAGGGGTCGTTTCGTAGAAAAAGTACTCCCAGTGACAGGCTATCTACATAACATTACTTCTTGACTGGTTGCTTTCAGAATCCTGGCAGGCTATTGTTCTTGTGCTCCAAGCTCAGCCAGTCTCTGGGGTGATTCAATCAGGGATGATTCAATCCCAGTCCATAACAGCTGTACTCAGACTGACCACATTTTGCACTGTACTTCTGCATCCTTCCTTCTCAACACCCCTCCAACCTCCATACTGGGTAATAAGGAGTGATGGATCTCCATTCCTACTTGGGTCTGACGGAGGGAGCCGGGACTCTTGGAAGCTCAAACCCTGAGCCTCCTGTCGGTCTCTTGTTGGTGCTGCTGGACTTGAATCCAGCTCTTTGACTGCAGACCAGCATGGCTGCCCTCTGGAATTCCCATGTCTGTGGCACGTTGGAATGCCCAAGTCCTCCGCAAAGCTTGCCACTGAAATATTTACAACACTTCTGTATGGCAGATCAGAGCTATTGTGGAGTACTGTATGCAGGGGGCGTTTCGTAGAAAAAGAGCTAGGGGAACTCATTAGCATAACTTATTAGCATATGCCACACCCCCTGACATCACTGGAAGTGTGTCATAAGGCCACACTCCCTGACATCACCGGAAGTCTTAAAGGTTAGTCTTAAAGGTGCTATTTGAACTCTTGGACTATTTTGCAGCAACAGACTAACACAGCTAATTCCTCTGAATCTAAACCCACCACT